AGTGTGATTATTGTCAGGCCTATAAAGTTTGGCAAAAAAAAAAAGTCAGCTGACCAAATGCATTTGCCTCACTTTGAGCTTCACATCACTTGTGCCTTGTACCGCAGAGTTTGCAACGTCATAAATAAATGGTGCCAATCTTCATTCAGATGTGAATGTGTAATCTAACATTTTCAGCAAGAATAACGGACAAAAGGAGTGCAAATACAATTTATTGAAATGTGAACTAAAAGTTATCAAGCATGAACCATCACCATTTTTTTTAAATAAAAACGAAATAATATACATAAGTTACACTAAATGTTAATCTGTTAATTGACAGGCTAGGCCTGTGCAGGTGGTAACAGCTATGCCCAGCATGGGCTAAGTTCTGTAGGTGCAGCTGGTGCAGGTCCTCCTCCATCAGGCCTGGTCCTCCTCCCTCAGGCCTGCAGGGTCTTTCCCTGCGAGGAGGGAAAGACCCTCAGCCCTCTCTGGCCAAAGCAACAGACAGGACGTTCATAAAGCTGAGGTCTCCCCCAAAGTCTCTAATCATCCATCCTGTGAATATGAGAGGGGAACAAATAGTGTAATAGATGCTTTGGACAATAAGAAATATAAAGTTAACTGTTGAGTTGCTCAGTTTTTTAGATTGACAGGGTTTAATAACACAAACAAAAAGGAGAGAAATAAAGATTGGTCTTTCAATAAATTGTGTTGATTTTGTCTTTTGAATTGTTTGTCTGAAGTCAAGTAGCTAGAACTGTTACTTATAGTTTGAATGATACAGTCTGGTTATAATGTTTGGAGGAGGCATCACAGGTAAGAGCACCATTTGTTGTGTTCCATCCACAACAAATGCACACAGATTGATGTGTGTGTATTTATTTATCTACTATTTCTTGAATTATTACTGTCAGTCCAAAACAAGAGATTTTGTTTTGGTAACATTTAAAAAAAAAAACATCTCTTTTCCACTACACTATCTTGAATACTTTAGTTTTTACGTCACTACATTTATCTAACAGCTTTAACATTGTAAAGGTGTCACTTCGGACTAATTATGACAGCATGTCCTACTCAGAGCCCTAGAGTCTCTAGGGCTCTGGTCCTACTATTTTGAGAGTTTGAACAAACCAGACCTTCATCTATTAATGTAGAAAATAGTTGGCACATTACACCATTATGAAAGTAATAATTAGTTAGCTCATTGTTCAAAATGAGCTCCAACTACAACAGTTAAGTCAACTCGTGCATCGGTAATAACAATAAATCAAATGATATAATATAATAGTATAACTTGTGTCTACTTTAACAACACTTTCCTAATTATACTAGCATACTTTTACTAAAGTAACATTAACATGTTTAAATGCAGGGCTTTTGTAAGAGAGTATTTCGTATAGTGTAGCATGGTCTACTTGACTTATCTAACCGAAGTGATCGTTACTTTACTTTGCAAACCGTCACCCCCAACCAACCAACCAACCCACACACACACACACACACGTTGTGATTCACTTCAATTAATGGTAACGGAGCGTGCTAACAGCAAGGCACAAGGCTACTTCACTCATTTAGCTAGCTAATGTAAGATACAAATGCTGTCGAGCCCTCACTGCTTGTAAAATAAAGAGCACAAACTGACTACTTACCCGAGCGGCGAGCCCCACTGTTTTCCGTCATTTTTCTCCCGGGTTGTTGTGATCACATGACTGACAAAGCCGTGCTCTGATAGGCCAGAAGTCGGAGTTGCATTAGGGCTCGATTGCTTATCCTGTCTGCGTAGCCCGGATGATGCTGCATCGCAATTTTGGACATCGAATTTTATACATCGAATTTTTTGACATCGAATTTTTTGACGTCGAATTTTTGGGATCTGAATTTGAACATTCGAATTTTTTTCACTTGAATTTTTACATTTTTATTTCACATAGGTAAATTCGGAGCAAAAACATTTAGATACATGATTTTCAAAGTAATTATTTTCAATGTTATAAATTCGGTGTCTAATACAATTCAAATACTTCTGTCTCTTGTTTGCTTCCATAGGGTACTACTCTCATCAATGATACGCGAGCGTTCACACACTGAAGCTGTATAAGCGTAGCCGGCCAATCAGGGCAAGCCTACCTGAATGTGTGCGCAGGCTCACAGTATATAAGGCAGCTACACCTCCTGACTGTCATCCTTTTCTCTTCAGCGAGCGGGACAACACCTGACCAGAAAAGCATTAAAAAAAAAACAAGTATTATCAAATCAAATCAAGTTTTATTTATATAACATATTTAAAAGTGATTTTTGGTCGAGCCAAAGTAACATCACACTATCACAATAAAAGACAATAATTTACAACAGAGATATAAAAAACACAGGGAAATGTCAGGAGTCGTGCTCCGCTCTGACTAGAAGGCCAGGGAGAAGAAGTGTGTTTTTCACACAACCATCACATCCTCCACCCTGATCCTCAAAACTGGTGCCCCTCAAGGCTGCGTGCTCAGCCCTCTCCTCTACTCCCTGTTCACTCACGACTGCGTGGCCACACACAGCTCCAACACCATCGTGAAGTTTGCTGACGACACGACCGTCATCGGACAGATCACCGACGGCGACGAAACGGCGTACAGAGAGGAGGTGGAAAACCTGACATCTTGGTGCCAGGATAACAACCTCCATCTCAACGTCAGCAAAACCAATGAGCTGATTGTGGATTACAGGAAGCAGCAGAGAGAGGGACACACCCCCAATCGCCATCAATGGGACTACGGTGGAGAGAGTCAGCAGCTTCAGGTTCCTCGGTGTCCACATCACTGAGGACCTGACATGGACTCATCACTGAGGACCTGACATGGACTCATCACTGAGGACCTGACATGGGCTCATCACTGAGGACCTGACATGGACTCATCACTAAGGACCTGACATGGACTCATCACTGAGGACCTGACATGGACTCATCACTGAGGACCTGACATGTACTGATCACTGAGGACCTGACGTGGACTAATCACTGAGGACCTGACATGGGCTCATCACAGAGGACCTGACATGGACTCATCACTGAGGACCTGACATGTACTGATCATTGAGGACCTGACGTGGACTCATCACTGAGGACCTGACATGGGCTCATCACTGAGGACCTGACATGGACTCATCACTGAGGACCTGACATAGACTCTTCACTGAGGACCTGACATGGACTCATCACTGAGGACCTGACATAGACTCTTCACTGAGGACCTGACGTGGACTCATCACTGAGGACCTGACGTGGACTCTTCACACCACCACCATCACCAAGAAAGCTTGACAGCGGCTCTTCTTTCTCCGCAGGCTGAGGAGGTTCAACATGGACTCCATGATACTCTGCAACTTCTACAGGTGCTCCATAGAGAGGATCCTGACCTTCTACAGGTGCACCATAGAGAGGATCCTGACCTTCTACAGGTACACCATAGAGAGTATCCTGAACTTCTACAGGTGCACCATAGAGAGCATCCTGACCTTCTACAGGTGCTCCATAGAGAGGATCCTAACCTTCTACAGGTGCACCATAGAGAGCATCCTGACCTTCTACAGGTGCACCATAGAGAGGATCCTGACCTTCTACAGGTGCACCATAGAGAGGATCCTGACCTTCTACAGGTGCACCATAGAGAGCATCCTGACCTTCTACAGGTGCACCATAGAGAGGATCCTGACCTTCTACAGGTGCACCATAGAGAGTATCCTGACTGGCTGCATCACGGCCTGGTACGGCAGCTACACCGCCCTCAATCGTAAGGCTTTACAGAGGGTGGTGAAAACTGCAGAGAACATCACCAGTACGGAGCTGCCATCCATGGAGGACTTTCACTCCCAGCGGCTCAGGAAGAAAGCCCTCAGGATTATAAATGACCCCCATCACCCCAGCCACAAACTGTTCAGTCTGCTGCCGTCTGGCAGGCGGTACCGCAGCATCCGGACTAAAACCACCAGACTCAGGGACAGTTTCATCCCACAGGCCATAAGACTGTTAAACACCTGAACTGTTGTAACAACATCCATAACATTAAACTGGCTGCTACTTAGTAATTATGTATCTATTTATCTAATATAGCATTCAAATAGCTTGCATATATACTCTTATTTCACTACTTCACTTTTTTTAAACTATTTTTCTTTGTATTTACTTTTTAATATTTACTTGCACTATATGTTTCTGTTTTTCTGTATTATTGTGTTGCACTGTTGGAGAAGCCTCTGACCTAAGATTTGTATCGACATAACTAGCTATGTCCGTATGACAAATAAAGAACCTCCTGATTGGTCAGAGAGAATCGTCACAATCGTTGCGCGCGAGATAATCCCTAGCGTTGCATATATCTAGCGAACCTGAGAGGGGTCTGCCTGCAGACCTCCACTCTCAGGACAGTTCCGGTGCAGACCTCCACTCTCAGGACACCTCCACTCTCAGGACAGGAAGTGCACGCTAAGAATTCCAAAATAAAATCACCACTATCAGTACAGTGCTATGGTACAGTGCCACTTTCCAAACAGGAAATGCACGCAAATACAAAATAAAATCGGATCTTGACCATGATCTTGACGGATCGTGACACTTATTATATACCTATGTATCTATATATATATATGGATATATACGGACACCTTGTATTGTTGTTACTATCAGTACAGCCGCAGCGCCACTTTCCGAGACCGGGCAATGTCCGGGTGAAATAGCCAAAAAAATAATAAAACCGGGGAAAAGTGAAAACAAGTGTCCGAAAATAAGCACTCGTGAGGCGGGCAGAGTCCCCTGTCAACTCCCGTTACATTCCTCCATGGTGTCATTTGAGCAAAAAACTTTGACAAGAACCAGGCTGGGGGGGTCAAAAGGACCCAAAGTGCACGGTGGGCGGACTCATCATCTCCGTGATGAGACCCCATTGTGATTTGAAAACTTCCATCAAGCGAGTCCTTCGGTGGGCGGGAAAAAAAACGCGTCAGAATCGTCACTTCCTGTACTGACAGTGGAGGTGTCCTGAGACTGGAGGTCTGCACCGGAAGTGTCCTGAGAGTGGAGGTCTGCAGGCAGGCTCCCATGACGAACCTTGCAGCATTTTTCTAAACAACATTTTTGTAAACAGAGGAGCTTAAAAAATGGCAAGAAAAAGCACGCCGTGGTCAGTCGAAGAAGTGACGACGTTCCTCCATCTGATTGCGGACCACAAAATCCAACGGGAGCTCGGCGGAACAACTCGCAATTTAAAAGTGTTTCAGGAGGTCTCTGCACTGATGTCCAAACTCGGATTTTCGAGGACTTTACTGCAGTGTAGGGAAAAACAAAAAAAATTGAAGAGTGAATATCGCCTAGTCAAGGATAACAACGGCACGACTGGTGCGGGTAGGAAAAACTGGAAGTGGTTCGACCTGTTGGACGCTATTTACGGCCATAGACCGGGCGGCTAACGTTGGGAGGGAGGGAGGTCTAGACCAGTCCTTCTCAAAGTGTGGTCCGCGGACCACTGGTGGTCCGTGAGTGCCGCCTAGTGGTCCGTGAGTATATTGGTAAAATGTCACATTTGAAATAAATAAATAAATTTAAGTTTTACGCACTCTCGCAGGAATATCTCTGCAATGGAGCAAGCTTAAGTTTCACTTTCGATTGCATGATATAGCCCAGCGCAACACCTTCATCACACATGTGGCTACTTGTTTGTACAATTTTCAGGCGATTTGTAAAAAACGATGTGTTTTGGGATATTTGTGGAGTTAGGTGGTCCGCGAGTGTTTTTTTATTGGTTATGTGGTCCTTGGTATGAAACAGTTTGAGAAACACTGGTCTAGACTCTGCAACTGCGTTACTTGAGTCCCTGCATGGTAAGTTTTTGCTAACGCTCTGTTATTTGCTTGAAAGCGTTGTGTCCCTATCTATTCTAAAGCTCACTTCTAACAAATAAGTCTATTTTATCCTTACATTTATGTTCAACAACCCATGCTTTTATGGAGCCCCAAAGAGCTACATAGCTAGCTAAGGCAGATAGCATTAGCTAGAGCTATTGTTTGCTAACACCATGTGCCATTGTTTACGTTCAGTTTTCCTTTTCTAGAGTTGTTGTTGCTATTTAGTATTGTGCTGCAGTAGTTTGTGGAATTAACAAGTCATGTTGCTGTTCTAGATGATTACATTGGGACTAACGAGGAGGAACATTCCCGAACAACGGGGGATAGCAGTGTTCCGTCCTCAATATCAACTGAGGAACAGACCCCAACTCGACCAACTCGACCAACTCAACCACCAACAGAAGAACCAACACCAACTCGACCACAGACCCCAACGTTGAGTGCCAGCGCGACACCGCAGCGTGTGGTTCTAGGTAAGAAATAGGCATGGCAAAATAACTGGAATTGTGACTTTTTTTAAACTTTTGATCATTGTCAGTAAGTAAACTAAGCTATACCACTGTGTGGAAATGCTCTGTTACAAGTAAAGTAACTAGCTAGTAAGCAGCTAGCACAATTGTGTGTGACATCCTATCATATACATATATTTATATTCATTATCAACAGGCTGGACATAATGTAATTCAATTTCACAATCATTGTAAACATCTAGGGCCAGAACTTCCTTTAGTTCACCTTACTGTTGTTCTGTTTATACATGTTATTCTTATATCCTTGTGTGACCTGTACCTGTCCTATGTTTTTCATTCTTATTGCTAATTGTTATTGCTATAATCATCTTATTGTCACCCAGGCAAGAGGAAACGAGGAGGACAGGATCTGGCCCAGCAGGAACGGCACCATGAACAGCACCTAGCCCAGCAGGATCAGCACCTGGCCCGGCACCTGGCCCGGCACCTGGCCCAGATGGAACGGCACTTTGACATGAGCTTAGCGGCTGCTGCCCGGACGAGGGAGATGGATGCGACCTTGAGAAGGGAGGAGGCCGCTCAAGCACAGACATTTCATTTAGCCTTCCTGCGCAGTCTTGACAGGTGCTAGGGGGAATGGTCAGCCGGCGGCGCCCGTCTCCTCAGTAAGACGAGCCTCTGTGATAAAACAAACAAATAACCTCTGGCTGAGAATATATTGTTATTATATTGTTTATATGTTGTTATTGTTCATTTGTAAATGCAACATTTGTACTTTCTTGTTTATTTCTTATCTTTAAAATGTTTATTTTATTTTTACAATGCATGACTTTTTATGCTTCTTTAATACAAACATTTTTTATTTGTGTTGTACAATGCCTTGCCTTTTTTATGCTGCTGCAACAAAACACTTCCCAAATTGGGATCAATAAAGTACTTCTTTGACTTATCTTATCTCTTGTTGATAAATAATTGCACCCAACAGCGATCACACAGAAAGATGGCATCATCTAGGCGTCCCTCTGCAGTGAGAAATATAATAACCACCATCATCTGAATCAAATTCAGATTCACATAATCTTGATTTTGATAAGATATAAACATACATGCATTTATAAAGCAATAACAAACACCATCAGTTAGGAAAAAGCCCATAAGATAAAAGTTAATATTAAGAGATTTAAAGCAAGAAATTGAGTTTGCTAGCTTGAGCTCCTCCTCTAAAACATTATTACATTACATATTTATTTTGTAATGGTATTAAGAATAATACATGTAGTAAAAATTGCTCAATTTTAATGCCCTCGTTGTGCTAGACTCAAACAACACATACCTTATATATAAGAGAAGAGAGAACACAATAACAAACCTATACAAAGAGAGCGGTACACAGCGCTCACTATTTACTATGTACTTGCACTATATTTCTGTGTATCTGTTTTATTGTGTTTGTGAAGTCAACTTGGAAAATCCTCACAGGAGATCAGGGGGTTAAAAAGTTGGCTGATTGACAGAGAGGCAGCTGTCTGAAATCATTCCCGAATTGCTAATCAGCGTCGCTGCACCTTTAAAAGCAACGCACCTGAAAGAAGGGCAGTAATTAAAGCTGGAGAGGGACAAACTAAAGAGCGGGCGTCCAGCAGCAGCAACGAACCAGCAGAAGAAACGTCAAAGAAGCAGCACTGGTGCAGCCATAACAAGCTGGAGAAGCGGCCGGTGAGAGACGAACTGTGTGTTAAGAGTCATACAACTTACCGTTCATTGCGCACGTTAGAACGTGCGTTCTAGTTCAGTGTCATTTGTTTGTTTGATGTCCTCAAGCTAAAGCAACATGATTGTTGATTTAAAAACGAGTGTGATTTGTTTATTGAGATATGTAGATTGATAAAAACGGTTTGCATGCTGTCTATTATATTTGCATTTTTAATGAGACTGCATAAGTTAAAAACTGTTTAAAAACATAATTCATAAAAGTACATTAAGAAAGTAAAAACAATATTCACAAGTGTTAAGTATATGTAAAGCATGTATGTTTGCATTTATTATTTGATGTGCATTGTATTTACAGTAATTATTTATTTTTCATTTAAGGTTTTTTACCTTACAACCTTACTACATAAGCTGTACTGCAACAACAAATACCAAAGTAAAGAAGAACTCAAAAGAAACAAAGTTGTGGTCATTGTACGAGTGAAACCCAGTTAAAACCTCCTATGGACTGTACCATCCCTTTCAAGCGGGGAAACTGCAAATATACCCAAGGGCTTGACAGTGTTGCACTGTTGGAGGAGCCTGTGACCTAAGATTTTCATCGTCATAACTACACTGTACGTATGACAAAATAAAAAACCTTGAACCTTTTGGCTGTGACTTTCAGACATAAACCATCATAACAAATACAGAGAAGATGATTGCTTGCACTGATCAACTCGGCAGGCCCTTGGTCAGGGACGAGCTCCCCTAACCCATTCCAGCAAGCTTTTAGCATGTCTAGAAGAAAGATTGAGGTTATATTCTAATATTATTTTATGCTGTGGACACTTTAGCCTCCATCCATGATTACAATTTCCCACACTTATTTTACACTTGCATTTATGAATATACACTGAACAAAAATATAAATGCAACACTTTTGTTTTTGCTCCCATTTTTCATGAGATGAACTCAAAGATCTAAAACATTTTCTATGTACACAAAATATCCATTTCTCTCAAATATTGTTCACAAATCTGAAAAAATCTGTGATGGTGAGCACTTCTCCTTTGCCGAGATAATCCATCCCACCCCACAGGTGTGGCATATCAAGATGCTGATTAGACAGCATGATTATTGCACAGGTGTGCCTCAGGCTGGCCACAATAAAAGGCCACTCTAAAATGTTCAGTTTTATCACACAGCACAATGCCACAGATGTCGCAAGTTTTGAGGGAGCGTGCAATTGGCATGCTGACAGCAGGAATGTCCACCAGAGCTGTTGCCCGTGAATTGCATGTTCATTTCTCTACCATAAGCCGTCTCCAAAGGCGTTTCAGAGAATTTGGCAGTACATCCAACCGGCCTCACAACCGCAGACCACGTGTAACCACACCAGCCCAGGACCTCCACATCCAGCATTTTCACCTCCAAGATCGTCTGAGAGCAGCCACTCGGACAGCTGCTGCAACAATCGGTTTGCATAACCAAAGAATTTCTGCACAAACTGTCAGAAACTGTCTCAGGGAAGCTCATCTGCATGCTCGTCGTCCTCATCGGGGTCTCGACCTGACTCCGGTTCGTCGTCGTAACCAATTTGAGTGGGCAAATGCTCACATTCGATGGCTTCTGGCACGTTGGAGAGGTGTCCTCTTCACGGATGAATCCCGGTTTTCACTGTTCAGGGCAGATGGCAGACAGCGTGTGTGGCGTCGTGTGGGTGAGCGGTTTTCTGATGTCAATGTTGTGAATCGAGTGGCCCACGGTGGTGGTGGGGTTATGGTATGGGCAGGCGTATGTTATGGACGACGAACACAGGTGCATTTTATTGATGGCATTGTGAATGCACAGAGATACCGTGACGAGATCCTGAGGCCCATTGTTGTGCCATTCATCCACGACCATCACCTCATGTTGCAGCATGATAATGCACGCCCCCATGTTGTAAGGATCTGTACACAATTCCTGGAGGCTGAAAACATCCCAGTTCTTGCATGGCCAGCATACTCACCGGACATGTCACCCATTGAGCATGTTTGGGATGCTCTGGATCGGCGTATACGACAGCGTGTTCCAGTTCCTGCCAATATCCAGCAACTTGGCACAGCCATTGAAGAGGAGTGGACCAACATTCCACAGGCCACAATCAACAACCTGATCAACTCTATGCGAAGGAGATGTGTTGCACTGCGTGAGGCAAATGGTGGTCACCCCAGATACTGACTGGTTTTCGGACCCCCCCCAATAAAGCAAAACTGCACGTTTCAGAGTGGCCTTTTATTGTGGCCAGCCTAAGGCACACCTGTGCAATAATCATGCTGTCTAATCAGCATCTTGATATGCCACACCTGTGAGGTGGGATGGATTATCTCGGCAAAGGAGAAGTGCTCACTATCACAGATCTTTTCAGATTTGTGAACAATACTTGAGATAAATGGTTATTTTGTGTACATAGAAAATGTTTTAGATCTTTGAGTTCATCTCATGAAAAATGGGAGCAAAAACAAAAGTGTTGCATTTATATTTTTGTTCAGTGTAGTTTTGCTGTGTTTTACACTTTTGTATTTATGTTTATAGTTTGCTTTTAATATTTGCTTAATTTTCTTTTCATAATCTGATATTTTCTCAAATGTTCTTATTATGGGGCAGTACTTACTGGTGCTTGAAATTCGAATATTTACTAAATAGTAAATTCTGATAAAACAAAAGTTGTTTAAATCATTTGACAAACAAATGTATTACAATACAATGAATATTTAGCTATTCAGGTAGCGCATCAAACCCTCTCGTATGAGTGCCCTCCTCCTCTGCACCTTGAGACACTGCGGCTGCTGGTACATCCCACCCATCACCCAACCCAGTCTCACGGCATTTCGTGTTCACCAACATGATTTTTAATCTATTGATTCGTGATCACCAACACGATTTGCCCCTTTTTTTCGTGTTGCACAGCACGATTTTAAAAGCAATGTATTTCTACTGCCTGCAGCACGTCTTTTTCTCCGGTCGGGTCGTGGGAGACCGGAAGCTGTGTGGTTCATAAAAACATGTTCTTACTCAATATCAAGCCACAATTATTGCTTTTATTTTAAATCGTATAATTTCGGACTTTTGTTGCCGTCTGTGAGGAAAATAAATGGGGCTCAGAGCCTCAGAATACTGAAATCTGTATTTTAAAATCTTTTTTTCCTTCTAATTTGTTATTCTTTTCAAAATAACACACTGTTATTTACTCACCAATAACACACAATTATCCTTGCTTTTATTTATTGGTTTAATTCCATAATCTCGGGCTTTTTTGGCGTCCGTCAGGAACTGAATTTCAAAATAAAAATAACCGGAAACAGACGTAGGCCTATAAGGGACATTTCGAGCATCATTGCGATTGTCAACATTTCTGAGTTTAGGATGGCCGAAGACACTACACTACCCATAATCCCCAGCTAGCGTTTAGGACTACAGTCCCCATAAGGTTACGCAGAGCGTCAAACAGCTGTGTGAAATGGAACGAAACCACGCCAGACTATCCAAAACTGGAATCGAACGCCCCCCCAGAACTACACATGCTGGCTATTGTGTTTTGCAAAATGTTCTATGGGACGTCTCTACTGAACGTTTTCGTTTTCCCCACAATTAGAAGTTGCCAGTATTAAACACATTGGTGTTATCAAATGTAAAACATATAATTAATAAATAGGTGAAAATCGCTTGTGTCCATAATGCGCAGCATTAATACCCACGACAGCTCATTGTTACTTTGTAATTCTACTCCACTACAATTCAGAGGTTAACCTGGTATTTTTACTCCACTGCATTTATTTGAGTTACTTTGCAGATTCTGATTAATTATGTGAAATATAAACAACCCTTAAATCAGACTTTAGTTACACCTGAGTAAAATTCAGGTAAGGTGATTGTCAAGTGCCAACAATCAGGAGATATATTTGATAGTTGGTGCTTAATATCTTTGTACATTCTGCACTAAACTGTTTTATTGTAGAGATCACTTAGAGTATCTTCTTGATTTTTTACATTATATTTATACTTTCCCCCTATGAAAGTATGTACTCTTAATATTTTTTAAATCAAATATAACAATAATTCAATAACGTGCTTTAACCACTAGGAGGTGCACACAAGGTACACACAGCCATAATAACTTTGTATTATAAATGTAGGACACTTATGTTTTCGTACAACATCTGAAGATGTGTAGTTTTATGCATGCTTTCACATAATTTTACAGCATATTGCTAT